AAGGCAGAAACTGGAACAGAAGCAATGGAGGAGTGCTCGGCATTGACTTGTTCTCCATGGCTTGCTCAGCCTGCAATCTTGTACCACTCAGGACCATTTGTATAGGGGTGGCCCCACCCACAATGGGCTGGGCCCTCCCACGGCAATCACTAATGAAGGAAACTGAAGATTTGCCTACAGGCCAATCTCAAGGAGGCAGGAGGTTCTTAATGGAGAGTCCCTCTTCTCAAACAACTCTTGCTTGTGTCTAGCTGACGTAAAACTAGCATACCATGCCAAGCCCTGGGTTAAATATTAGAGCCTCTGGGTTTAAAATTAAACACGGATGCAGGCTCGGGAAGCGTAGAAAGGGTGGAATTAAAAACAGTCTCAGAAGGGCTTATAGCTTCCCCACAGTGTCTATGAAAGGGCCGTGTGAGGGGCTCACATTTTTGAGGGAAAGAGTTCCTTCACAGCAATGCCTGGTCAGGGTCATCCCCAGGTACGAGTTCTGAAATCCTTTTAACACAGGCTCTAGACCCGGCCAGCTGTGCTCTGCACACGGCTCAGTGACCACTGCTATTTACAGACGAGACACAGAAGCTGCGGAGCCGACATTCGTGTCCAGGCACCACAGGAAGACAGCAGCTATCCTCGGGTTCGGTCTGACTTCAGTGACAGACAGTGAGCCTGTGACAGCAAGCTGTTCCCAGTTCTAGACAGGCAGGCTTCCACGAGGGAACCGGAAAACCCTACGAGGCTGCTTTACCGGTGCCTCCACGGGCATGCAAATGCCAGGTGCCACCAGCGTCGTGGGCAATGTGGGTCTGCCGGTGCCAGCAGTAAAGGCGGTGCTGGTGGCCTCAACAGTCATGAGGGGTAGCCAGTCATCACCCTGTGGGCGTAAGGCTGAACTAGACATTGCCTCAGTACTTAATATGGGTTAATTTACTAAAAATGTACGACTCAGCAATAACCTCGGGAGGAGGAAAGGGTAGACGTGGCTTCAGTCTTCCTGTCCTGCGTTGTGAGTCTTAGCCTCTAAGGGCTGAGCCATCTCTCCAGACTACAGCTGCAGTCCTCCACCGCTCCTCCTGCAAGAGCTGAAGTCTCGTCGCTCAGCCCTGCGTCTGGCCTGGCCTTGTGACTCGTTTGACCCCTGAGCATGTGTCAGTTCCAAAGCCTGGGGTTCAAAGACTCCAAGCCAGCTTTCGTACTTCCATCCGTGGACTCTCGCCTTGGGAAGAAGCCTTGAGATAGACCAGCCTGCTGCCCAGGGCTGATGTGGCCCAGTCACCCTTTCACTTCAGGCGACAGCTCGCCAAGCACCAGATGTGTCCTGCCAGCTCACCATGTACACATCAGCAAGCAGAAGCAGAGCCAGGCTGGAAGGCCACCAGCTGGCCCACAGACTCCGAAGCGAATGCGTGTTTATTGCTTGAAGCCACAGAGTTTAAGCCTCTGGGTGGCCTGCTATGTGGCGATATGTAACTGATTAAGACAGGAAACACCTTCAAGGAGAAGGAAGGTGTGAAGATGGAGAAATTTCCAGCAGACGTGGTGGATAAAGAAGAACCTTAGGCTGGGAAAAGAGGGGCTAAAAGGGAAGGTGGGGAGAAGCAGCCTGAGGAACGGAGAGAAATTCCAGGTAGAGAGAGAGAGGAAGTTGAAGGGGAGGCACACAGGACATGATTAGGTCGGGGACACCACTGACATGGAAAGAGAGCCTCAGCCAGCACAGGTGGCTGCCTCCTGGCAGAGAAGGCTGCAGGGCTCTGAAGTATGACAATGGTGGTGAGTCTGCTTTTCACCGACCGAGCTTGAGGAAAGGGGAGAAATGTGTAGGCAGTACAAGGGACCGGCAAACTCAAAGCCAGCACAGAAAGGAGAGGGTGGCCAGATGGGTGGGGACCTTCAAATCGTGCGGGTATTTGAAGTAGAAAGAAGGGTAAACATTACTGTCAAATGCCATCACCACAGAGTACCCGCCTGGAGTTCACGCTGCTCCAGGGGACGGAGGGGAAAGATGGCTTCAGCACGGGGATTCCAGGCCAGCCTAGGCAACACAGCAAGACACCTGCATTTAAAAAGAAATCGAACTGCAGGCACAGTGTGGTGCTGTGTCAGTAAGATTTCATCCGTTGAAAATGGAACAATGCGCCGAGCATGGCGGCACACTATTAATCCCAGCACTTGAGAGGCAGAGGCAGTTGGCTCTCTGAGTTCCAGACCAGCCTGGTCTTCCAGGACATCCCGAGCTAAACAGAGAAACCCTGTCTCGAAAAACAAACAAACAAATAAACAAACAAACAAAATTAAAAAAGAAAATGGAACCAGGGCTTCCCTTTGGGAAGGCCCCTTTCTTGACCCTTGGCATTTCCTAGAACTGAAAGGACACTTTCCACGTCCCCCTCCCTGACCATCCCCTCCTCCCGCAACTGTTGTAGTGTTTCTCCACTGGCCTGGCTGACTGCATGGGCTCTCCTGGCTCTGGGCGCTTGACTAGCTAGCGGGCATGCCAGGCTCGCAATGCCCTTCCCGAGGCCGCCAGAGGGCGCTGAGCCGCCGCCTTGGGGAGAGGCTGGCCCGGTATTTGTGTATTTGTGTGTGTGTGTGTGTGTGTGCGCGCGCGCGTGCGTGTGTATGTGCTTGTTATTTATAAGCAGCGTCTGCAGCTCGAGCACCTTCCCCAGCACGTTTCAGCCCGGGTTGGGGTGAGGTTAACTCTAACGTGGGCCGTGCAGGGTTTGCGCACCAACGCAGTTTTGTTCCAGCGCTCCCCCCCCCCCCCCCCCCCCCCCCCCCCAGCACACCTATCCAGATTGCTCCAGCCTCACACCATGGAAGTCATCCGGACCTCGAGACCCGATGGCCTCTGGGAGTTCTCTGGGGACATCCTGCGTAGTGTCCAATTCGAAACTTGTTTCAGTTCTTAAAAATAGAAACAAAACGGTCGGGGTGGTGGCGCACGCCTTTAAACCCTGTATTCCGGAGGCCAAGACAGGTAGATCTCTGAGTTCGAGGCCAGCCTGGTCCACAAACCCGGACCAGAACACGGGGACAGAGACAGAGCCCGACGGGACAGAAACAAATCCAAACCTCAGGAGCCTGGGGAGATGTCTCAGTCATTATTCTCCCGCAGGAAGCTGTTGCACGTCGGAGACTCCTGGGATTGGCAGAATTAAAAATCCTTCAACCTAGGACACATTAGGCCTTTTGTTCAACCCTGACAATGAAATTAGGAATTGGGTGGAGGGAGCTGGGGAGACTAGGAGCTGTGGTCGGGACGCGTCCTAAGGGTGGGGGTCTGGAGAAGCCCGTGTTGAGTCACCGGGTGCCTAAAAAGGATGCGGCCCCGCGTGTGAACGGAGTGTGCCGCGCGCTGCGGAAGGCTGGAACGCTGGGCTACCGGGCTAACCCGTGTGTGAGAGCGCCTGCTGCGCACTCTTAATTACCTAGGGAGACCTTCGGAAGCAGGAACTCAGTATTGGTCCCTAAAAGGTTGGGTAATGGATTTTCCTTACATCTGAAATCCAAGGGGACCAATCCCTAGTTCCCCATGGATTCCAGGCTCTTCTGAATGTCTTTGTCTTCTAAAATCCTGGGCACCCGTGAGAGAGCACTTAGTTAAAGACACAGAGATGGGTACCCTCCCACCTATCAATCATCCGGAAACCCTTGTTAGGAATTTCCTGCTTTTTCATCTGACCTTCTCGGCAGCACTGTGAACAGACCTGGAGGGATGCTAGCATTTTATCTTCCACATTTTACCCCGCCCACTCTCCAGTCCACAGCCTGCCCCCCTGGGACGCAGGGAAGTCTCTGGCTGCCCTCTTGTCCTGCAGCAGCCATCCTGAGACACTCAGCCCATCTTCACAGTTGGGTTTGGTGTTCCTTCTCCAGTCAGTGTAGAGGCATATGCCTGTAATCCCAGAGTCTGAAGTTTGAGGTAAGATACTGGGATACAGGGCAGAATCCTGGGGAGAGGGGTGGGGCAGGGGGAGATAGAAAGGCTGTGCTAGTTCGGGGATGTCTCCAGGAAAGGTGGGACTTAGGAACTTACCAGCCGTTTGTGATGAAGTTAATAGGTATTTCCGTGAACAGTTAAATCTTATACAAAATCAAAATTAAGCTATGGGATTTAGCCTTAAAAAAAAAAAAAAAAGAATTTACCATCAAAAAGGGAACAGAGGACAGCCCTGAAGACAAATGCTCCAAAAGAAGGCAGAACACACATCCGGAGGCAGAATTTAGCAGAGAGTGGAGAAAGCAGCTGCCCTCAGGATCAAGCCTTGCAGGCTTTTAGATTGTGGCGTGTTGTCTGAGTGCGGTGGCGGTGGCCGACCCTGTAGTTTCAGTGCTAGGTCAGAGTCAGGTTCTCCCCAATTCTCAGCCTCTTATCCAAAGAACCAATCCAGGCTTGACTTAAGTCCCTTACCCACAGAGCCTTCTGGTTGACCTCAATCCCAGCACTTGGGAGGCAGGGGCAGAAAGGTCAGGAGTTCAAGGTCATCCTCACCAAAAAATGACAGAGGAGACGAGGGAGTACTCAGAGACAATCAAGGACCCTAACAAGAAGAGGGGGTGGACAGTGGCTAGTGACATATCTTCCAAAGGAGCCGGGTTTTTGTTTTGTTTTGTTTTGTTTTGTTTTCAAGACAGAGTTTCTCTGTAGCTTTGGAGCCTGTCCTGGAACTAGCTCTTGTAGACCAGGCTGGCCTCCAACTTACAGAAATCTGTCTGCCTCTGCCTCCCGAGTGCTGGGATTAAAGCGTGCACCACCACTGCCCGGCTCTGGGGTTATTTTATTTAAAGGTTTTTAATTTTGTACCAGGCAGTGGTGATGGAAACCTTTAATCCCAACCCTTGGGAAGCAGAGGCAGGTGGATCTCAGTGAGTTCGAGGCCAGTCTGGACTACAGGGTGAGTTCCAGGACAACCAGGACTGCATAGAGAAACCCTGTCTCAGAAAAACAAAACAAAACAAACAAACAAACAAAAAACAAAACCAAAACAACAAAATTTAATTTGTTTATTTATTTACTTTTGAGGCAGATCTTGCTATGTTGTACAAGGTTAGTACCCGTTACAGGCATGAGCTTTATGGCATTCGGTTTCGGTTTTAAAAATGAGCTTAATATGTTGGAGCATGCTTAGGTAGTAGACAATACAAAGATTTATTCTATTTTGTGGCTTTGCCACACCGCTCCCCCACTGTCACCACAAGACAGCACATTTGATGAGCCTTCAGAGGCACATTGCTATTAACTGGCATAAATAAAATCTTCTCTCTCTCTCTCTCTCTCTCTCTCTCTCTCTGTGTGTGTGTGTGTGTAGCACAGGTGTGCTGGAACCCATAAATAGCTGAAGATGTCCTTGAACTTCTGACCTCCAGCTCACTTCTCTTCTTTATTCCTGGTGTTGCATCTCATTCCTTGCCGACAATAGGTTTTCCGCTCCCACTCCATAAGATTCTGCACCAACGCAGTAAGCCAGATCAAGTCAAACTGAAAAGTATAACACCAGTTATATCTGAGCAGAGCAACTCTCGGTTCAGTTCTCTGGTCCCAGAGATTGAAGCTAGTGAAGCCACACCCCTGAACTAAAGCAGGGAGACTTTCCAGGTTGTAGGCCAGGAGCGATGATGTGTCCAACACAAGCTGTCTTTGTGCCCAGGTATGGTAGACGGGGACTTGGGCAGCTGGCAGTTTCAGGGGAGGAAGGTGCAGTGGCCATCAAAAATTCGAAACTGGACTTTTTGGTGTCTTTCCTTTGTTTGGAGACTCTCTGAGAGGCTGGGTTTGGAGAGAGAGAGCGAAAGAGAGAGAGAAGGAGAGAAGGTGTTTTCTGGATTGCACAGGGGCAAGCTGGCGGCTCCAACCAAACAACGGACAATGGCAAATGTCCTGTTATGCTACGTGCTAGGTAGTTTAACTGCCCTAGAGGGCCAGGATTTGGACCGATATACTGGGGTCCAAGGTGCGTGACCTAGGGATTCTCTCTTGGTGAGGACTGTGAAGACACTGGTCTCCTCAAGGGCTAGCAGACTTCGGACAGAAGAAAGTGTGGTGGGGGGAGGGGGGGTCTTGTCAGAGGTCAAGACTTGCAAAGGCACAGGATGGTTGGAGATGCTCAGCAATGGGCTGGGGAGCAGCACTGAGCAGAGGGCTGAAGGGCTGAAGGGAATTTACGCCTGCCTATTGTACCTGTGCAGGTCCGACCAAGCTCTTGACACACAGTGTGCCCGCTGAGTGGGATACAAACGCGACTTGGCTTCCCCTCAGCAACCAGGCTGTCTGTCACCCGTGACAGCAGTGCGATCCTGGACTGAGGGGCCAGAGGACCAGAACTGGAGTCTAGGGTCTGCTGCTGGGTGCTAGGGGCAGGGGGCTCTCATCCCCTCACCGAGCTCCAGGCAGCACCCAAGGGCTGTGGGTGCATGTCCTCCGTGCCCCGCTGTTTTCGTTCTCACAGACCTGTGAGCCTACAAACTAAGCATCAGTTTCCTCATCTGTGGTTGGGGCCACCTTTAAGTGGGGTGACCCAAGGATGAAGCGGGTGTTGTGTGTGACTCCCGGCTGTGATGCTGGGGGATGAGGAAACTCCCTGGGTGCCGAGCGTCTAAGGAGACCCTTCGTCTTCATAGTGCTCAAGTCAGTTAGTCATTGGGTTTGGGCAATCCTGTGATAAGGAGGCCGAATCTAGAGATTGACATTGAAGGATGGAAGACAGCGTTTGACCTACGCTGTCTTCCAAACACTCATTGAAGTGAGAACCGTCAGACACCCCTCACCCCCATCCTCAGCTCTCCCAACTCCTACACACACACACACACACACACACAAAACCTCTTTTCCTCCCTAATCATTGCACACTGGTGACAGTCACTCTTCTTAGGCTTCAAATACCCGTGTAGGCCATGACACCCCAGAACGAACAGAGCTCCGGGTCATGCCTTACAATCTCAAGGAGAGCAGGGCGCCTTCACCAGGGTCCACTGCTTTCAGTGCAGCCTTCTCCTCAGGTGGCGGCAGGGTGGGGATCACCTCTGCTGATGAGGACACACTGGGGGTCCCTGAGTTCTTTGCTTCTGTGTTCATGGCCTAAACTGGTTGTCAGCGGGTTCCTGCCGGTGGTTCAGACTCCTTTGCAGCTCTGGGTAACTATGCCACCAAAACAAACTGCAGGTTCTTTCCTGACCCTTGGACTCGAGGGCCTGGAGAACTGCTAAGTCAGGAAGTGCCCGGGGAATCCAGGAAAGAGTCTCTTTGCAGGCACACCATGCCCCCGGGGGGGGGGGGGGCGATGGGAAGGAAGGAAGAAAGGAAGGAAGGGGTCCCAAGGCAGGCAGAGCTTGAGGCCCACTGTGCTGCAGGAGAGCTAATTCTTTTGGTTCCAGATCTTTTCAGCCCCGCCAAGCCCTGCAAAGTTCTATGAGGGGAACACCAGGTGCCGAGCCTGTCCCAGTCTGAACTGGAAGCCGTCAGGAGCCGGGGCTGTTTAAGGCTGGCAATCCGCTCCCTGCTAGGTCTAGGAGACAGCTAGCAGACTCTCGGCCTGCGCCACCATTGACCCTGCGCTGCACTGAAGTGAAGGCCGGACACAGGACTGAGGGGGAACTCAGAAGCAGCTCCCTCTCACATGCCAGGACAGCCACTCACAGGGCCTCCTCTGCTGGCCGTGCATTAGGGCCAGGCTGGCAGGGAAGCCTGAGAGACTGGCACCTAGTGCAGGGACCGGGCAGCTGCAAATAAAACACAGACCTTGAGCACGCAGGCAGGCAGGCGGGCAGGCTTTGGGACTCACCCAGAGCCAAGAAATCCTGGCTGAAAGCTCAACTCCAGAGCGAGGAAAAGCACCGGGCAATACTTGAAACCAAGCAAGCCCCCTGGAAATGTTGGATTGCTGACAGCCAAGGAGCCAAGCCAAGGATTTTTTTCCTGCTGGCCCAAACGCAAAAGCTGAGGACTCAGGGGAGGTGGGAGAGCGGCCTGAGAAAAGAGAGGCCAGAAAATGGTCATCCAACTCAGACCCCAGCGCTCCGCATTTGGCAAGTGTGGGGGAGGGGACCCTCGACTTCACACACCTTCAAGGCCACGCTGTCCTGGCAGGTGCTCCAGTGAGGGGGCCTATGGCAGTGTGATGTCTCCAACACTCCCGGGGCCTGGCTGCAAGGCCCAGCTTCCATCTGAGGTACGGCAGTGTATGAAGAATGTGTGAAGAAGTGGTTGAAGATTCCTGTCCCAAGCTGTGGAGGAACCCGCTATTATGATCCAGGGCCTGGCCTGACAGCTGGGTACCCAGTCCTTTTAAGAGACAAGCCCCGCCTACTCCCAACCCCACCCTTTCCACTGAGGCCAGCGAATCTCCTGCCTCCTCCAGCCTGCATGCACTCGCGCATTTTCTCTCTCTCTCTCTCTCTCTCTCTCTCTCTCC